TCCCCAACTGCAATGCCTGGAGGTGTTCAGAGGCACTCCTTTCATTGATCAGAGAGAGAACATGCCTTTAGGAAGCTGCTCTATAAGTATTTAAGACCCAGGGACACCTCAAGTGCCTTGGCTCTCCAGACTAAACCCCATTCTCAGAATCTCATTTACCTTTAAGGCAGCAGCTCAGCGGGCACTTGTGTTTCTTCCTTTCTCCCCACACTTCTCTCCAAAGCCTATTTGTTGATTTAAAAAGTCAGAAACAATACGCAGGGCCCTTCCATATTCTGAATGACACTGCAGCCATCCTCTCCATAAGCAACAGATAGGCTTTCATTGAGCACACATTTAGCCTTCTGCTCATGGTGACACTGGCACGTTATTGCATATCTATTATCACACCTCCTGTAGATGCACACAGTGCCCCGGTTCACAGCGTGAGGTGTCACCTTGTAGCTGAGTGATCTTGCAGCTCACACTCCCCTAAAAGGGTTGTCACGTTTCTACCCCTCGCCCCAAGCCACCAGCTCCAACTGTTTCCCTGGTACCATGTGGACCCTCTGTCCACTTGATGAGCTGAACCGCCTCGCTCAGCAGACAGCCAGTGCAGCTTCCTGCTGCTGTGGTGGGCTCATTCAGCCTGCCAGGTCAGCCAAGAGCCACACCTGGCACGAGGAGATGGGAATACACTGCTGGAGGCAGAGGGTTGGAGGCTCAAGAATGGGTTTCTCCAGGGCAGCACGCCATTCCACTGGCTGAGAGGAGTCAAGGACCCTCACCCTCTGTTGCAGTAAGACCTTTTTAACAAAATGGGAGTTATCAGGAGTTTTGGAAGGAGCTCATTATGGCAAAACTTGTTTAGGAAAAAAAAGGGTTGTTTTGGTTTTTTTTCCCAACTGCCAGGATGGCATAAACAAATCCACCTTATTCACAAAGTCTGCATGCGTTTACATAGTGAGATTTGGGATTTCCGTTAGTTGCCTTCACATTTCTGGAGCTGCATGTAAGTGAAGCTTCCTCAGCAACCAGAAGGATTAGATTTAAGAAGAAAAACCCAACACAGAAAGGAGAGATCTGAACTTCTCACATTATATCTTGACTCTAACACTTGGAGCTTTACAAAGGAGGCTAGATATCATGAGACTACTGATAAAAGTCAGGAGAGTTGGCAGTTCTACAGACATTTATGGGCTTGGTAACACATTTTTCTGTTTTTAAGTGAAAACAGACAAAACAGTGCACATGCTAGAATAATGAACATCTTGGCACACTGCAATTACAATACTGGAACAGATCACTGTTCTGTTTTTATGGATGCTTTTGAGAAAAACAATCCCTATGTTCAGCTCCCTGTTACATTTATTCTCCAGAATTCTAGTGCCAAAAGCTTCCCCATCTTCTCTGTGGGCTTTCCAAACAGCATTCACCTCCTGTGAAGCACCACAAAAATACAGCTGCTGTGGAGCAGCTCGTCTCCTTACTAAGATGGGTTAGAGTTACACCACTGAGAAATGGCAACATGCAGTGTCATAATTACATTCAGACAGCATCAGGAGAGATTTTTTTATACGACAAAATTATTGACTTTCAGTATTTTGCTTCCATTTGGAAACTCCATGAAATATTCTGTAGATAAACTAGCACTGATCTACAAAACAGTCTAGATTTCCATAGCATGGTACCACATCTAGAAATCTTCAAGAGCATAATGGTGGCATCATCACACTAGTCTGTGATAAAATTGGTGAATAGGAATATTTTTGTTTGGTGTTCCAACAATATTACTGACTTTGCAGGGAGCTATAAAAATTACAGTGTAGAATTGCAGTCAATTGTAAGTTAATTTTTGCTATAAAATAAATTGAAACAAAATTTTAAGAAAGTCATGATAAAATCTTGGGTGACAAGGTCAACTAGTACAGAAATGTTTCTCTGTAACCAAATCGCCAGTGACGGTTAAGGCTGGGAAGGCTCAGAGCTCCATGATTGCTAGAGCACACACAGTAACAAAGGCTTACCAAACCTTTTAAGCAGGCTCTGAAAGTGGGAATTAAAGTTCTGGGAAACCACTGATAAGAGATCTGCTATGTGCAATGCATAAACCAGAAGATGAAACAAGTATTGGTTTTCTCAGAAAATGAAAGTCTTAAGACTCCAATAATTAAAATAGAATTACTCTTACCAGTTAACAACTTTTGAGCATGAGCAAGCAATACTAAAGCAAAGACCTTGCAGGGGCTCTCAGAAGGAGTCTGCTGACATAACTGAGATATGCTAATTCAGCTAAAATGTGTCTGCCTTGGCAATTCATATATTACTGTGTTGCATTTTGAGGCTTTGAGTCTTTCTACTTAGTGTCCTCTGCAAGCACACAACAATGTTGAATGTGCCCTACTTGGTAAGAACAGTAGTTATTGCACTCTGATCATAAGGAAATGGTGAATCAGTGTTGGAGCAAGAAAAGTGGAAGACCAAAAAAAAAAAAAGAGGGCGGTGGTGGGGAATATTATGTTGCTGGTCCAGCTCGGAAGGCAGAGAGATGATTCAGGATTTGTTGCAGGGAAAGGCAGGCAGACTTGCTGCCACTACTGGGGCACAGCAAGAGGATCATATCCCCTCCCACTCCCTTCTCCCGCTGCTTTGCGCTTGTGGCGCTGCAGAGGGACAAGGTCTACAGGTAACTGTAGTGCAAGGACAGCCATAACTCAATGGACTATTGACTATGCACATACATCCCCCCTTCTTCATCTGTAGCCTCCTTAGAGCAGCTCTACCTGTGGTGGAGGTGAAGGAAACTCTAATATGAGAAAGACAACCACTGGGTGACATGTGTGTCACGTAGCTCTCTTGTGAGATGTGCTATTCAGTGCCTTCTAATTTAATATCCTCAAAATCTCTGAAGACAGCAGTTAAAATTTAAACCGGGGTTCTGAAAACACACTCTTGATCCCATTATCAGTGTTGTGGATGGGATTACAATGAGGGTGGTAACGGTGGAAATGTTTTAGGCTAGATCTAGTATCAACAGCGTGAGTGGCCTCTAATTGGATTCTTTCAGTGTCACTGCAGAGTTGTCACGGGACTCTCCTTCTCTGTTGAACACTGCAGCTCTCAAGGCACTCAGAAAGGAGCTTTCTCAATTGTTATCGCATCAGTCTGCCATCCCACTCAAACACAAATCCCCCAAAGCACTTTCTAAAGCTAAGGGAATCACGGAAACCATGACTCCCATGACATCTGTGACAAGTGTCCAGCCTCCCCCAAGTCCTCCTGTTACACAAGGCTCAAACTCCTGATCCTGCATGAACAAGCATATAACATTAAGTGCAGTATGTGAGTTAAACAAAGCTAGATAATAAACTGCAAACTGTCAAAATAGCCTGCAATGAAGTGGTCTAGTCAGAACAGAATTTGCAGATCTTTCAAAATATTTTTTTCCATAGCCGCGTAACTTCCACTGAGTGTGGGTTTTATAATGGCTTCCACATTTTGAAATCCTGTCCCCAGCATCACAACATTTTTAATACTATTTTTATCAGTTTCTGATTGGAACGAGAGCTGTTACAATAATTTTCACACTGATACTTGCCATCTCTAGGATACTTCTGGATTCCTACGTGCTTTCTTTTTTTCCCTAACGACCTCTCATTTAGCCTACTTTTTGAAGATGTATTTACACGTCGTTTGGAAATTCACCAAGGGAGGTTTTTTTCAGGCAAAATTACACCAATCATAATTCTTTTTTTTCCCCTCTGAAACAGAGACAAAAATCAATGAAAGGCCGAGGAGACATGCCAAGCAGCAGAAATTGAAGTTGCATATTATGACGGAACAAGCTCACCCACCTCGATTATAAAGTGCTAAGAAGAGGAAGCCCCTGACAAGCAATAAACTGACACATAATTAAGTCAATTCAGGGCAGAACACATTCTGGCTGGGAAACATTGTCTTGGGCTCTACCTCACTGCTCAAAGCAGGAGGGGAATAAAAGAGGCGACACTTTGAAAACAACTCTATGGATACAATCAGTATCCCACCTAGTCTTCACTAGCTGGGGGAAAAAGAAACCCACCAGCTTTTGTGCAGTGCAGATCCCCTCCCATCACAAACACAGTTGATAGTACAGACATGCCTGGTATGTTCAGCATTCCATATCAAGCAAAGATGAATTAGCCGCAACAAAAATGTGTTGCAGCTTTCATGCAGCAGTTTATGGATCTTTTTAGTACCTCTGGAATTTTTTACCTTGAGCAGATCTACTGAGGTTGTACTGGTCTCAGATCTTTGTCTCAGATTATTTTTATCTCACTGTGAGGAACATCTTTGAGAGTTCTGAACACTTTTACAGCTGCTAGGATGCTAATGGGAACTTCATGTGTGTACCCAGTACAAGTGCTCTCAGGGAAAAAAAGCCAGTGTCAAAGGAAGGTATGTAGAAGTCACCATAAATATGTCTTTGAATGTTTACCATCTGGAACAGTAGATTACATTTTGACAAGAAGCTGGACTGCCCCGTGGGCATTGTCTTTTAAACAGCCCCATCATTATAAAGGAAGGGAAAACATGATTTGCTGTTCCTAGTTTCTCATCAGGATTTTCTGGCAGTGCTGGAGAAACTCGGTTTTTTCCTAGTAAAACAGTAACAAGCTGAGCGCGTGTAGTTAGCTATGCACTTTCTTGAAAAATACGTTTTCTTATAGATCAGCTGACGTGTGATCTGACAATACCCACCAAGAGGGATGCATCTCAGTTAGTCTGTGACAACAGCAGGCTGTGCAGCTCATAGTGCTGCACCTTTGATTTGCTTCCCTGTGCAAGGAAACTGATTGGGCTTCTCACAGGACACAGGGAAGAGTGAAAAGGAGAAATCCAATATACAAGGCTTTAACACAGAGTCATAATGAGGGTTTCCTTTAGTTTTGTTTTACATTTCAAGCTTGTAAACTTTCCACCACTTTTTACAATGAGAAAGAGTTAACTAAGAGAAAAATCAAAACAGTCAAATGTACTCACATACTTCTGGTCTGATCATGCAGTTATAGTAGGGATTTAGCTATTTCTCTGTTTCAAATTGCTGTGGGTCCCTTCTGAGGACACATTCCTACTGACTAGTGTGTTTGAAAATACAGGCTGAGAACAACCTGTAAAAGGACCAAATAGCCTGCTCAAAAAAAAAAAAAAGTAAAAAAAGTAAAAAAAAAAGTAAAAAAGTAAAAAAAAGTTGGTTTGAGGCAAAAAATATATGTGCAACCTGAAACATGAGTTTATAGGCATTGTTACACAGTTGAATGCCAAAATCACAAAACACCAGCTACAAATCCCCTTGCTCAGCCTACTAGACAAATCTTATTTCAGAACACATTATAGACAGTATTATTTATAGAATACCTCACCTGTAAATGGTGAGGACAGTGTTAGATTTCTTTCACAAGTAAGAGGCCAATAATTCATAAGCACCACAGGTATCTGAGAGTGTGAAGATCTGTTATAGTGAGAAAGAAACAAATCATTCTGTTACTCTGCACAGGAAGACAATATATATATACAATAAATCTTCTATTAAAAAAAAAAAGGGTGCGGGGAATAACCCATCCTCTAGTTTCTCCATCTAAATCATTTAGAGTAAAACAATCAGAACATCTTAATTCTCTGATAGGCTAACATACTGTAATTAGTGATAACATTTCTGACTTCATAGTTAATTTGCTGGGCTTCCCACGGTCCAGACATCAATGAACTTAATAGCAGAATTAACTGAAAAAGATAATAGAACACTTCCATAACTAATTCCTAATTACATTTCTGACACCCTTCCTAAACATAAATTTTTGCTTAATTAATTATCACTAGATCGCTAGTTTAGCATCTACAAATATAGCGAGACTTTAATGATCCATTATAGTGATGCTACTTAGTTTTCAATGACTTGTAAAACTTTCACAAACAGATCTGCAAATGAATTACATCCATCTGCTCTGCCGCAGCTGTAAGAGCAGCACTACATTGTACCCTGCCTTTTCCTACTTTACTGGTTTTCTCTTTAAGACCATGTGTAAGCCAAACCATCTCGATGCCGATCATCAGAAGTCCAGCCAGGTCTCTATAAAGGAGTCTTCAAACTTTACAGACATCTCAAACGCACTTTCAAAACCACGCCGGGTTGCCTCCCAGCTGAGCTCCAGACAGGCTGCACACTGCTCAAGCATCCTCCTCCAACCCTAGGAAATACTCTGCTCCGATCCCTTCCGCGCCGGCCACCAGTTTCCACGGATTTACCGAAACACGGGGGGTATTTTATACCCGCCGAGACAGCAGCCAGTAGCCCCCCGCTGCAGCCCCCCCTGCCCGGTTGCCGGCGGTCCCGGCGTGGCCCGTGTGTACGGGAAGCGGAGCAGCGCCAGCCGGAGAAAGGGGGGGGGGGGGGGGGGGGCAGAGGTGGCACCCGCAGAGCTGGGATACTCCTCTCCAGAGGAGATTTTCCAATCTACACCTTCAAAAGCGTGACCTTAGCCGCGTTAAGAGTGTTAGCTCTATGAAGACAGCCAAGCATCAGGCTGTGCTCGCTGTTATCTGTCAGCCGTACAATAGCAGCATTGATAAGGCAACAGCAACTGGCTTTGACAAGTGTGCTGTGCTAGCATTCCTCTGAAATCCGTGAAGGAAAAAGGGGAAAAAAAACAAAAAAGGAAAAAAAAAAAAAGGGGGGGGGGGAGGAAAAAAAAAAAAAAGGAGGCATGAGGTGCCTTTTACTTTACCTGAACAAAGTGTGGGGTTTTACTTTTCCTTCTGAGCTGCTGAAAATGATTGCTCCCTCTTCTCCCCAAAGCTAGGTATTTCTTCTTTCGCTCGCAGCTCACACTTGGGGAAGACCACACAGCTCCAGCAAGGCTGCCTCTCTCCCCTAATCCCCACTCGAGTGTGATGACACACACTAACCCCAACCATCTGTTGAAACACGTCCTCAAGCACTCGGCACAGTGGTGTGTCAAGGCGGGCTGCCCAATCCAATCGCTGGGGCTGGGTGGCTCTTAAGGAGCTGGAGGCAGAGACAAGGGCAGAAACTATAGGGCTGAGAACTCTTTAGCAAAGTAACCTGAGATTTTGAGAAAGGGCTGCTATTGAAAAAAAGAGCAGAAGGGGGAGGTACTAGCGGGAAGGTAGAGGGAGTGGGTTAGTCTGGTGGCCAGTTGTGTTACTTCTCACAACTCCTTGTATTCCCAAGGGACCACTGGGACCCCCTCACAGTGGGATGTACAGAAGCACAAGAGCAACACTAAAATCTCTTTTTTTTTTTTATGGCGGGTCTACTGAGGGCAATCTCCTCCGAGAGACGCTTTCCTAAAAGAGATAAAAGATGAGGTTGGAAATCCTGATAAAGTGCTAATCTGGAAGTCGTTTGCACCGCAACATGACATTTGCATCCCGAAATCCCAACTCGTTTCGCGATTACCCCGTGGCCGCCTCCAACCTTTCCGGGGAACGGCGGAGGGAGCCTGCAGGAAAACCAGGGGGTAGGGGCGAGGCGGGGAGAAGGGGGCAAATCCGAAGGGCAAATATTGTTACCTCTGCCCAGATACCTGCAAGTCTTCCCCACGAGCCCTCGGTTCCCCGCACCTGGTGTAAACTCCCGGGCTCCTCGGCGTGTCCACAGCACGCGCGCAGCCGCCGCCAAACCACCGCGGCATGGCTGTCACAGCCCCGGCTCCGCGCCGGTCCGCCCGCGCCGGGCTCCCTGCAGCGGGCTCTGCAGCCGGCTTCCCGCACCGAGCTCTCCGCACGCGGCTCGGCATCGGGCTTCCCACACCGTCCTACCCGCACCGGGCTCGGCAGCGGGCTCCCTGCGCTGGGCTCCCTGCGCCGGACTCCCCGCACCGGGCTCCCCGCACCCAGCTGGGGGCCGGGTGGCCGGGTCTCCGCGCCCCCTTCACCCCGCTCCGGGAAACGGTCCCAGCAGCCTGTTGCTTTCCCCCAGCCCAACCGCTTCCGCCAACGCCGCGCCCCCTCGGACTTTCCCTTGCGGGGTGCAGCCCGAGAGTTTGAGGCTGGCTGCCCTTCCCCTCGGGATACACCACCCACCCCTAGTTGGGGCTGGGGGCTCTGGGCAGTGCCTAGTCAGGTCTGGACTGTATCTAGTCTGTACCTCAGTTTCCCTCGGCCACAAAGCCAGCATTATCACAGCTTCCGTTCTCCCAGAGACGCTGCCAGGAAAAATATACTAATTTACAGAAGATGTCCGGGAACGACAGATAAGGGACATAGAAAAGCTGCTAAATGCCAAAGAAACAGTTCTTTCCTTTCCCCTCCCTGTAATATGATAGCACGGAAGAGAGACTTAAAATCTCAAGGGTTTTTACCTCATTACCAAGTGCCTGACTTGACACTTGCATTAAATCTACATTTCACATTATGACAGATGTTGTGTTTTCTTTGAACTGAGAAGGAGGAGCATCGTTTTGGCGTTAAAAGTTACTCCAAAAGTGTTAACACCCAACTTGAAGAAAGGTTTGCAATTGTGAAAAGACACTCTACCCAGCTATATGAAAGCCATATGAGAGTCTTCAAACGTTGATTTGGCTTACTTGTTCTTTAATACCTTATATAAAGCTATTTCTGAAATCACTAGTGGCAAAGTGAATACTTAATAAAAAGTGAGATTAAAAAGCTGTGGTTTGTGCCTAGTTAGCTGTTATCAGAGCAGACCTGGAGAAGGGAAAAAGAAGAAACTGTAGTCACAACTGCATTTGCTCAAATTAATCCCCAAAGTGATGATACAGTGTCTGCTTTCACAGATATTGGGTATTCACTGAAACACTACTCCTTAATCTGCTACTTCCAGATAAATAAACAACTAACCAGTATTTTTGACAACAATATGTAGTGAAGTAGGATGCAACTACTGTCCCTGGGGTATCGTAAGCTTTATAATGTTGCCAGTTATGTCTTCAGGGCAAGGGTTTGGTTTGATTTTTTTTTATGCTAGCAGAATGTGGTCTGTAAACAGGCTGTATAAAGTTACACACTCGGAAAACCCTGGAGACTTTATTAAACTCTTTTGCATTTTCTTTAGCTGTACTTCTTACCCGTGTTGTATTAGTAACTCTGCATTAAAAATGTATAGTGAAAAGAAATGCGGAGTATTAAAAAAAAACCAAATTGTGCTGCATCATCCTCTGTACTGACTCATTGTCTAAAATGCAGCTCTGCTCATGACTGCTCCATTTGATATTGGTCAGATTAGATGCAGACTCAACAGGGTTCAACCTCTAGCTACTTCTAACCACCATGAATGACAGTTATGTGCAGTACAATTATTTTATGCTGTGTTGCATGTATGCTTACACAATGTTGTATATTATATCTGTGTGTAAATATACATAAGATACTGAACATTCACAAAATGTCCAGGCCCAGTTCTGTTATTTTTTATGCCTGTGTAAGTCAGGGATGCTTCTGCTGATGCCTGTCAAGTCACAAGAGTGTAAAATTGACACGGTTAAAAGGACCCCTAACTGCGCATTTTGTACACAGAGACACATGCATGCCAACATTTATCTTCAAAGACTCTTCAGTTACTTGAAATATAAAATTTCATCTCCAAAACCAACGTAAGCAATAACCCTCAAACTTTGTGCACGATCATGTTTTCACATAAAAGCTACTGCTGATGTTGTGGGATAATTTAACCGCTACTCATGACTACAGCCAGATTTAGTTTGCTGTGACAGTTTATAAAAGACTTTTCTGTTGCTTCTCCTCTACCCAGACTGCCATCTGCAAAGAGTTTAGGTTTTAAAGGCTGAAATGAAGCTGCAATGGAAGAGCTGTACCTGGATCCTGGAAAAAATAATGCACCATAAAAAAGGTTCTCAAGTTGACTATTGAACCTGAGAACTCCTGCTAAGGTCAGACTGACCCCACTCAGGTAAGACTTGTAACAAAGTGAACAATGCTTTACCCAAGTAAAACAAGTCATTCCTAATATGCAAGATTAATTGTAGGCAACTGTGATATTGAGAAATAGTCTTGTTTTGTTTTTTTTTTCCACAATTAACATGTCCCTCACTTATTAGGTCCAATTAGTTTCCATGGTAGCCAGCAGCATCTTTAAGCCAGGGCTCTGAGCTTCACTCAGTGTTGCTTAGACTAAACTCATCACCTTCCCTCCAGCACAGATGGCAGTTTTGTGTGTCTTTGCAGACATACGTACACATCCCCACATGAGCACTACTGTTCAAGAACCTCATGTAATTCTCAGCTCCAGCATTTTCAGCTCTCAGAAGTAATTGAAAGGGATTTTTCATGGTTCCTGCAGCAACCTCAGTCTATCTCCACTGCCAATATGAAGAGAATTTGCTTTTTTATTTCCTTGAATCATTATAAATCTGCCCTGGATTTAATTAGTTTAGAAGAGTTTATATAGGAAAAGGAGAGATTCTAGAACAAAACTATAAATCCACAGACAAGTCCATGGTCAAATTCTAGCCTAAAATGTATAGGCTTATGTTGGGCTTGGGTGATATACTGACGAGATATAATCAAAAGGCCTCTAAAATCCTGAGTTGGAAAAAAAAGAGTCAAATAA